ACACATACTGCCAACAAAGACTGCGAATATCTTTTGGTGAATGGGAATAAAATGGTTTTTAATAGGTTACCAAGGCAGTTACTTTTGTTCTACTTTTCGGACTTCGACAGTGTGTTAGAACATTTTGAGCAGCATAACTTTCGCTAATCGTCTTTCGTTGACGATGTAAATGACATCTGTTTATATCCATTTGCCGTTCAGATTTTTTTAAATTTCCATAGAAATGAGATAGTTCAGACAGACCAATATCAGGATCTTTTAAAGAATCCTGAACTTTGGTAAAAATTTAGATGTTGCTTCCGGCAGGCGTTCGCATTAGTTGTAATTAAGTAATTAAGATACATGTTCTCATCATATTAAAAGAGAAGTCACCTAAATTATTTAGGATTTTTTAGGTTTCGAAGTTACTTGAATAAACTGCTATTAATTTTTTTGTTTGCACGAGAACACTCATTGGGATAGCTACATCTCAAGTTTCATTCGAACAAAGACTTGTGCTATTCAGAAAGAGTCATTTGATTTAAATAATGTTATAGCTGAAGGCAATCAAACATATCATACGAGACTGACCCCGCGTGGAGACTAAGAAGTATCATGCAAAGAAGAATATTAATTTTTACGACGATTTGTATCATCACCAATGTTGAAGAAAAGTTGCCGGTCTGGTAGCGTTATCTATTTATAAGGACTTTTCATCACCCTATTTCTGCATAGATGAATAGTTATATCTTACCGAGAAACATCTGATGGAATTTATGTCCTAATTGAGTTCTTGCTCTCCGGGGACTCACATAGCGCAGGGGAAATGGGCATGGATTTTGATGTCTGCTCATCCAAAGCAACTCTCGTTCCGCTACAGGCAATGAATATTAATTGCACCCTCGGTGACCGTATTTGGTCAATATCAGTAGGGTTGGGAAACAGCGGTGAAAATAGCAAAGCATTATTGCATGCATTGCATTCACGAATGGATGCAGTGCAAATGAGGCAAGCACTGTACACTGGCAATATAAATGCATTGATAAAACCCACGTCAGCTGAAAAATGCGAATAACCGCCTAATCGTGTTAGACATAACGTTCCGTAGGCATGACGTATTCTTTTTCTCCGTTATTTTACTGTATATACCTACGTGGTGTGCGCGTTAAAACATACTTACACTTCTTGTTTCACCTCACATTCCTGAAGATGGAAAAATCAACAATATGAATTTGGAGAGTAAAAGGAGTAATGTTCGCTGTTTGAAAATGCCTTCCGGTACTGTGGAACCTCATCTGTCGAGGAGAACATCTTCCAATTTGTATTGAGGATACCTTGAACGCGTAGTGGCAGCAGTAAAGTACTTTGCACAATGTTTGGTTTGATTCATTTAATTTTTTGAGATGATTATTTCTTGATTCGCTCACACAGTAAAAAAATTGAATAATGGTTTGGTCTGTACAAAGAGCGGCGAATATAGAATATTCCTTGAGGACCGCGACTTACCGAGCTAGTGGAGAAATGTGCATGACAAGTCAAGTGAAATCGGAGTGGGTTTAGTATTAGAAATAACCAGTTCAATGTTTACAACGAACAGCTGTTGACATACAATAACTAAATAATCTGGATTTTCTAGAGACCCAATTGCCTTCAATGGATACGTATGAACCCCCGTAGACAATCGTGTGGTCTATGGTCGAATCATGAATGACAAAATAAACGGAGTGGGGCAAAAATTGAACTTCAGTGACACGGCTAAAATGCATCGCATTTACAACGTAATATGTTTTGTGAGAAGTCCTTGGGTTGCTAAAAGCTTTTACCACAAATGAAGAGGGATAAGTTTTTTCATAGTGAATAAAAACAAGCCTGAAAGAAATGGATTGGTTTCGTTATAATTTCTGAAGGCGGTGCTGGTCGAGCATAATTGTTTATTGCGGATTTCAGATGGGATATCACCAAGTCGGGATACTTAACACGAAAATCTCATCAGGAACATATCATCGCAGCTCCTGATCACACGACGAGAAATGAATGGAGCGGTCGATAGTTATTCTTTGAGATACAGCAATTTGCCCTCGGTGGTCTTTTAAATTTTTGATCGTCGAAAGTGATCACCAACTATGTTACCTACTACTCACAAGTGAGCAGTATCTCACAGCAGTTTGAATAACGCAACTGTCCTGGTCAAAAGTGATCACTACAACCCGACGCTCCGTTTCTCCCTCAAGGACATTATAGGATAACATAATGTTCGCTTTGAGAATAACGTCTAAAATGATATTTTCCGTCCTCTACAGAATGATGAATGCACTAACGATATCAGAGAGCTTTCCACAGTCCTTAACGTTATCTGCCCCCGTTGGACCAATGGAAAGCGTTTTACGAGTTTCGTGTACGGTTTACAAATAACTTAGGACATGTCTTTCGCTCAGTTTATTTTTCTTACGCTTCTGCCAATGTCATTAATTGAATATAATTGTCTGTTTATCGTTTCAGTGTTCATGTCTGGTGTATTTAATCTAAGCGCCTGAGCACAAAACGGTTGTCTTTGTAATGCGAATATTCCTTTCACATTATTGAACGACAATAGGTTACTCCTATTGGTTAGTCAACTTCATTAGGGCTCCTCTTTTGGTTATTATCATGAAACATACAAGAAGTAACGTTTTGTTAACCAGGGTAATATATTTCGTAACATTTATAGCTCTCACATATATCCGTTTCGAGAAACATGCAGCTGGTAAAACCGTTTGCCCAGTAATATAACAGCTCTCCACTTTCCCGGATAAGTTTTACATAATAATTCACTTATTTTCTATCAATAGAAGGGGGCGACAACTAGTGAAAATTCATGCGTGCACTGAACATGGTTGGACTCATGGATGACGTAGGAAACAGGGAAAGATGAAATTGCATTTCGACGAGGTTACTTTTGTGAACGAATGACCAGCAGTGTTATAAGACGCCTTTACAACCATTAGCCTGTTAAATGTAATGAATCAAAAGTTCTCTATTGAACCAAAAATTTCCCACCTGTCTCGACCTTTATGAAAGAGAACTAAGACCGGTGGAGTCTCCGAGAGTGGCCAAACTGGTGTTATTTGGAACAGCGACGTGAAATCTCACCGAGAAACAGTGGGTTAGACGAGAAACGCAATTTTTAATCTAAAATAAATTATGTTACTGCAATATTCATACAGTTTCCCTCAAGAGAGTTATATTTGAAAACATCAAATTGTTAGAATAATATCCAAAGTACGTTTCCCACTCAATCCAGTTTTACTTCAAGGGGCGTTCTGAACAACTCTGAATATCAATCAAAGGTACCTAAACTGTCGCTGACATGTGTATGCTGGAATTGGAAGAAAACGGGGCAATAATTAATGCGTGTTCTTACTTGGTAAGAGGGGCGTAAACGTTTTCAAAACGCTTATGATGCGATGTCCTGAAGTCTCTGTCTAACCAAGCTCATTGATAAGGGACAAAAATCACGATGGGGCTACGGGATTCTCATGTGGTTGAGTTGTTTAGAATGATCACTGTGCTCGGTAAGTTTGAAAAACGTGCACGTATGTCATGTGCTATTCTGTGCAACCTAGGCTCTTCCATCCGAGAAGTACCAGTAGAACGACGACTGTGATCGTTGATCGCTTGATCATGAGCTCAAAGCTGGAATATATATTTATATGAATTCCACCAACTGGCATGCATATTGTCTGATGTGTGGAAGAATTTATCTACCGAAATCCAGCAGAAAACCTCCCAAATCTAAACATCATTTGTTCGTGCAGATTTTGATACATATTGTTTCTATAAATATAAGTTTTCAGCAAAGCAGTCTTTGCCCTCTGAAGTTTGTCACTGTATTGGCTTGTCACCAGTTGGAAGTGAAAGATACCTCATATGCACAAAACTACGGTACATTAGTGTTACACCGATTGGTATGCCATTTGTTTTCTTGAATGATCTAGGTCACCTGAGCCCTTCGAGCAAAAACGTATAATATGCATGCATACCCTGCAACAAACACAACAAACTGTGACGTCGATCACTCTAAAACGCAGTGGTAATTATCTATGCTGTCAAAGTGAGAATACCTAAATAATTTCAGATGTAAGATAATGGTTTCATAAAATTTGTGAGGATTAACTGTCCAATTTTAGGAAAAACGAGCGGAGATCGCTTTCGACTGTCAAAAAATGAACTCCCTTCAATTATGCATGCTATGAAACAGAATCATCATAAAGGCATCAGCTGGATTACGTTTATTTTTGGTACGATAAAAACTACACTAAAATCTCTGAATTCTTTGAGTCCTACACTTCGCGTTGTTCTTTGGCGATTGACATAACCTGCCGATCAGATTTGGAATGCCCCACTGACAGTAGTTAGTAAGTAAAGTGAATTGTTTGCCTTAGTGTTTTGTGAATAACGTTTCAAACGCTGCAGCTAACTGGATCCAACCTAGTGCTAATAAAACCTGACTGGAGATACATCAGCTTAGCTCTGTCAACATAACGCTTTCCTACAGCAACTGATCAGAGACAGAAGAGAGACTGGTGGCAGCAAAAGGAATCAGTCAGTGCATCCATCGATTCAACAGTCTACGTATGTGATATGATCTTGAGACAATTCCAAAAAAACAATGCTGCCATCATCACTGCAAGTACAGTGATAAATAATGTGGAAGGTACGTATTTTAAACCTATTTATTTGTAAACAGAAAAAAGTTCGGCTTCAAGTTTTACCTCATAGCATCGAATAAAATATTTGTAAATGAGATTATTTTGCAAATATACTTATTTATTTGAGTAGGAGGTCTTCTAAAGCTGTAAAATCTTCATAAAACGCTATCGGTCCGGATATTAGAACAGTCAGCGGTGTATGAATCAATTACAGATGTCAAACAGAAATTCAGCAAAGTCAAAACATGAGCATCCAACGCGGATACTTAGTCATTGATTCACAAACTTCATGTTCACGTTTCATGTCTAATCGGGAATCTCTCAAAGTTTTAGAATTTTTCGAATTCGTGTAACTGCTATCATACGTTTATTATTCTTTTATTTGCTCTACGTTCTTTTCAGTGTGTCGCTCTTCTGTCGATATCCTGCATTATCTTGTCCATACTGGCTTATTGTTTGGACACGGCCCCCACATTACTCACTCCGACATTATACACTCACATGCATGCAATGGATCGTTGGAATAACTCGAATCAACATGTAAAACTGCAGTCTTTCGACCCTGAACAAACGCCCAATTTGGATCATGTAAAAATGAACAATCGAACGTTGTACAACGGAGACCTGTCAATCACTCGTGACAACAGACAGCACAAAAACATGATATTCATTTATATTGAATCCATCTGTAACTTGTGGTTCACCATAGAACTTTTGATACGCTTTACCGTGGCGATGGATCAGTGCGCATTCATTCGTGATCCAATCAATGTGATTGATATTGCCGCCTTGTTAAGTTTCTACACCGAGGTTTGTTTGTATAAACTACACGCTGCGGATTTGCCTGCCTCTCCGCTCGTGGATTTTTTTAGTATCGTTCGTGTGATGCGATTATTCAAATTAACTCGACACATTTCCGGATTGAAAATTCTCATTTTAACATTCAAGGCCAGTGCAAAAGAATTCTCTCTGCTCATATTTTTCTTGGGAGTATTTATTGTGCTTTTTGCCGCATTAATCTACTATGCCGAACGACTGAGCACTAATCCGCAAAACGACTTTACATCCATTCCCATCGGTCTGTGGTGGGCAATTGCGACAATGACAACTGTGGGATATGGTGATATGGTGCCTAAGTCTTATGCAGGTGAGAAAAACTGATTTCAACATGTCTTGTCTGCTACCGTTGTTGGAATATTTTAGTTTTTATATTCGGATATCATCTAGTATCATAGTTGTATGCGTGTTGTAACACTGTTTTAAACGATCAAAGTCCTTTTTGAATGTATTATGTGACGCACAAAGAAGCGAAGGATAAGGTTCAATTTCATGGCCCTTTTTCTCATATGTAGACGTCTTTGCGTATCTTTCAGAACGCAGGCACGTAGTAGGCAGAATATAAAAATGCTTGCTGTTGTGTTCCCTTTAGGTATATAAATAAACATGCGGTCAATTAGTCATTACGTTTATTGTAATAGGCACACATGCAGCCGGTTCGTAGGCCAGTGAGAAAACAGGACCGGGCAACAGGTAGGCAGCAGGCGGGTCGGTTAACCAACGGCTCAAGGGTCACACGAAATCCGAACGCGGTCAAGCAGCCAACGAATGAATCAACGTGGACAGTTCAATACCAACACCAGATTGGCTGGAGCCGATCAATAATTAACTACAATCAATCCTCATGGTGTGGATTCGTGCATGTGTGATAGCAGACAGCCACGGGTCACAGGCATGCACGTTAAACGTATCAGTCAGTTGTAGGCCACAGCAAACGTTTTCCGCTATGTGTCAACCGGTATTTAACTACATGTAACGAATGTCAAACTTTGCTAGTGCTTACCCACGTCGATTCCAATATTTTCGATGTGATGGTCCAATTTTGTTGCTAAGGCTCAATGTGATTGTGTAGTAGTTGTGTGTGTAGTTGTAGTGGGAGGGGAATATGTTAAGCAACAAGCCTCTGTACGCGTAATTTAAGGAACATTGCTCCGTAGCAAACTACGAGCGCACTTGATGTGGACCTAGAAACACCTTCACACTCCAACGTAGTATTATATGATTACGCATATAGGTAAGTACTGTTCTATGTGATGAACATAGAGTAAAACACAAAGATCACCAGGAAAAAGACCACTCGATCAAAGATATCAGTATCGGGTAATCCCTAGTGGTTACAAATTGAAAAAAAAATGTAGAGATAGATGGTGTTCGATGCAGCTTTTATTGTTACTTCCAGGCGTCTCACTAGGACCTTTAGTACATCCACGTTGTCTTCAAACGGATGAATAATGACTACATCCCGTAATTTGAGTATTTTAGTACCTGATTACAATCAAAAAGAAAAATTATAATAGCATAATTATGAATTATGAATGGCTGTTCACTAAACTTGGTAGTGATTATTTTGGCACCACTATTTTCGTCATCGAGAGAACAGCATGCACAGATACCGGGTAGTTGTTTTCACTATCAACCGGAAATAATAAATAACGGTGTGTTTAGGATTCCTTACCACCAATGCTATTATACACATCAGCATAATGAACATTAAAACGAGTTAACCCCACGGTCACGACGATCTGCTTGACCAGTGAGGGCAGTTGGCCACCCATACCTGCCATCCGGACAGACAAAACTAATTTACTAAGAAGAAATTTATGGTATCTAATCAGATGGAAGCATGGGTATATTGCATCATGGTTTTTTCGTAGTGATGAAGTTCAAACCACGGACACAGTTCGATGGAGTATGATTGGAAGAACAACGAATAGCACTTGGTTTTCATTTGAAGACAATCAAATATGTGTTATAATATGTTGCAGATCAAACTGCATTATATTCACCGTGTTGCCGCTGGAATGTACATAAATAGGTTATCAACACATTTCTGTAGGTTTCGGGGCGTGTAACATTATGTACCCCCAATAAAACAGAAAATATTTGTTCCACTGTTATTTACAACAAAATTGTACACATTTTGATTACCTAGGGGATAAGAATGTCCCTGCTACTATTCTGCGTCGTAGCAGGTAGATCGCTAATGACGAAATTTAAGTAGTTTTTAAAGTCATACAGGATAAAGATTGTAAAGTTTATTGTAAGTTCTGTTTTAACTTGATTCAATTTGTTACTTGAAATAATCGCATTATAAAAATGCAATTTAAAGCCATCAGTTTGTCGTTATTCAGCCACCAAATCTCTCCCGGAATTGATAGAATCTCATTCCGAATTCGAGAGTTTTACAACTGAACAAACACTCATTTCTTAAATGTGTCGTTAGCACTTGTCTTTGCTTTCGACTAATTAATAGTTTGATTAAGACAGTGATCGTTAACCAGAGTATTCAGACATTCCGGTCGATTGAACAGAATTAATTTTTCAAATGGTAAAATTCTTCACTACGAACCATTTTAAATATAAAAATCGATTCATTCTTCGATCGTTTTTGTTAATATACAATGGAAATAAAGGTAACTTCGTGTTTAGTATTTTACCGAAGCAAATAGACAATTTTAATCATCAATTTAATAACCAGTATTCCCCTGAAATTGCATGCTACCTGTGCAGTTAATTGATAATTTTGCAAGATAGTTCCTCAGGGAATAAATTTTGGATGGATGGTGAAATTGTGTGACTGGATAGCTGCAGTCTTTCTTTCGTCATGTTTTCTCATTTTACTTCTTTTGATTGAGTATAATGATTCAACTTTTCCAAAGGGGGAAACCGGCAATCCAAGAGCTGCCATGCAACACAAAAGGTGGAAGTTGGTCGATGGTAGTGGGATTCAAACACGTTCTCCGGAACGATAATGCGGTGATCATTACCACGGTGAAGCCATCACCTAGGTAGCTACACACACCTGAATACTACATTGGTCGGTAGGACCGAGTGTTCACAAAGCATTTATGCGCAGCATACTCTCTTGTCTCCAAACAATGCCACATTTTGTATGAATTGATTTATGAGGGTGTGACTTTTACCGATGGGATATATTTACCACGGAGCAGGATAAACATCTTATCGAGTGTTCTAGGTTTCGGCTTGGTTTAGTGATTAAGCTGTCCACACAGTGAAAGGAACATTCATGTGCACTACTTGTTTCGTGAGGAATTATTTATTTAATTTTGAATATGCCAGAACACATTACATTTATCAGTTTCATTTTAACTAAGAATCTTAAAACTTTCCAAGAATGTCCGGCCGGAAGTTCTCTTGATCGTTCTTAAATGGGCGTCATCCGAGTTGAATGCAGGACGTTTGCGCATGTTATTACAGAGGATCTAATGTGTAAGGTAATACTGTTTTCACAGTTGCCCTCATGGTAATTTGTTGGCGTTGATCAGTCTGCACTAACTGAGACTGATGGTCATCCTGTTGAAGAAATCAGGAGGGTTATCGTCTCCTTTGTTGATTCATTCAAAGGGATCCCTTTCATAAAATTGCTGTAGCGCGCCGTAGATGACTGTTTCTAAAGCCAATCAGCATATGTGAAGGGGTTTTCTGCGCAAAATGTGATTGTTGAGATCATTAGTCCTAAGACTTGCGCAGTGCGTCCCACGCTGCGGATCATTCCCTATCCGTTCCGGTAATTTTCATTTTCGGTGAATCTCCAAAATCTGATAGAGATATTTCTACGCGAAATCATTTGTCATCGACCTAATCGTCCGTAAATCAGATAAAAAGTGAAAGTAATACCAATGGAACTTAAAATATTTATGTCTTTTGCCAAAAAGTATTAGGCTTTACTTCCGGAAAACAGTTGCAGTTATGTATTGATCGCCTTGTGATAAATTCGATTGGTGTTGTTTCCTGTACATTTGAGTTTAAAAAGCAGTAAACAAAAAAAAACAAGCTAATAAAAGCATTTTATTCATTTCTAAATTCAAATATGACAAGTTCTAGTTTATTTGAATTTCACGTTTCGCATCGTTCTTGCACTGAGCATAATACTAGAGAATTCTATTCAAACATGAAGGACATCTAAGGAAGCAACAATTGTGACGACTGGTGTAACCCCGTAAACTGTCCGCTTGGTTCGCGAGTAAACATTGTAAACGGTAAAGAGTTTTGTGACCGTACCCCTCCTGATTTTCAACAATCCTAAATTTTAACTTTATTCTGATTGGATATTTAACCAGGAGAATGAAACAATTAGACGTTTGGGTACAACTACTGTTACGGTAATTTAATAAATAAAGCGAAAACGTTCATCACGAAGATAGATATATTTTCTCATCTCCGTTGCAACTTACAAGGTAGTTGTCCGGTGGTAACATTACAAACTTATAACACCGGAGAACGTATATTTGAGTCCCACCACAACCCTCGAACTTTGTCCATTATGTGTGCTGTCTAACAGCCATGTGATTGGCCGCTTTCATTTAGCTGAAATATGTTTTGTTGTATATTAAGTAACAAGAAGTGAATTGACGAACGAAAAAAATATTGAGATCACCTGATTTTGTGTTTCGTAAGCTGAGAAAGAACAATCTATTTCGTTTAAAAAGGACAGGAAATGAGTAATGACAGAGATATGTACTATCTAACATGCACTTGAGCGCATTATTTCATGAAAAAAACTCTCGTTCTAAACAGCCGATTGAATTTGAGCCATGTCTACTCATTGCCTAGGATGAGGGAGAACGTCATGCTAATTTTGACCAAAATAACCCCCAAATCGTTATATGCTATGTTCACCATACGTTGGTCATCCTAACCGCTTGGTGCTATTCTTTTACCATGAGTCAAATTCCTTGTGTACTTTGAACTACTAAGCGTATACAAAGGCATTGCCCAAGTTATTTGTCTCAATGTACACTGAAGTGAAACGAAGTACGCATCTCGTATTTGCATCTACGCTATACTTTACTGACGCGCTTTGTTCCCCGATAGTAGAAGAGAACATTTTTCGATGTTGTTTTATCCCGCAGTACCTGTTTTCATGAGAAGAAATTATGCAGTTGCATTACCTATAAATAACGAAGGAAGAAAATCTTTATGTTGAGAATAAAGTTTTACGTATCGTACACTTTCGCACCATTTCACTGGACTGTTAGACCTTGTTCCCATAACTGGATCAGCATTATTTTTCCTCTATCGGTTTCCTAGGTATGATCGTTGGTGCCATGTGCGCGGTTACCGGAGTGTTGACAATTTCACTACCCGTTCCAGTCATTGTTTCGAATTTCTCCATGTTCTACTCACACACATTAGCACGTTCTAAACTGCCGAAAAAGCGGAGACGCATTCTTCCAGTCGAAGCCATTCGTCCAAAACACAAATCCGGATTTGCCAGTCACGTACGTCGCGGTACTGATGGACCAGGCTTGAATAGTTTGACCAAAAGTATGGTGCCTTCTGTGGCGGTCAATTTAAAGACAGCTCAGGCGCTCGCTGGAGCCCGGTTTCGAGGTGGGTTTCTGCAGTAACATTCTATCTCAGGTGTTACAACTTTTCATCAAGGAAATATAATTTAATTTTAGTACAATACCTTGTATATCGGATAAAAAATATAGCATGATTCTTTCAGCATTCAATAAAAAGGTAGAAAGTGGAGTTGAAGTTATTTCTAGTTAATTCGTTGCATCAAGAGTTTAATTATGAAAGTAAATAGTTGTACAGACAACTGAATGAAGAATTGCAATTCAGTTTATAACGATGGCAGATGTGAGCATGCAGAGCATGCGAGCCAAATAAGGCTAGCGGCGGTCAATAAAAGTATATTATGGTCACTCCCAATCAATAAATAATTGAGCCAAGTTACATTGGTCTACTAGGGGAGTATCCTCTTTCACTAAATGGCAATGCTTTTTGAGTACTAGATAACTAATGGAAAGTTAATTAAGATATCCACTCAAAATAGGCTAGCCAAAACCATCGAGAAAAGGGATTTATATATTGACAGTAAGCTAAACCTTGATTACTGCAAATGACTAATGTCTGAACGGCTTTCAGTATTCATCTGTCAACTCCATCACAGCTATCAGCTGAGGACCGTTAACATTCATACACTGGTTTTCACCAAACAAAAGAAGACGGAAAAAATATTCTTGACGTCTTGACGTTCGAAACTCTATGAAATGCTACATTATTTATCGTACACAAAGTAAAGAATCATCTGTCTGACCGTAATGTGGAAAAGGAATCATTTTGAAATTACTAGTTTTGCTAGACAAAAGTGGATTAACCAGAGTTAATTTGAGGCTGAAACTGTTTTATTGGGTTATGTCCGCCCTGTGAGTCCATGTTTTAAGAGATGCCAGAGATACTAATTCTCAGAAACTCAGAGCTCCCAAAACCGACTAAAGGATTACACGTAGACATATTTGTCCTCACATTGTTACACAGATTGCCATCTGGGGGTGTCTAGGGAATTCCGTTCTGACGATAAAAACAAATTAAAAATTTTCTCTCGTGGAGTTTTAAGAAGTTCTCATAAAATCGCAATAATAAGATGATTGATTTTTTAACGGCTTCTGCATATATTTTGCCGACAACTTAATTACTTTTCCGGGAAATTCAGAACGGCATATTTCACCAAAGCGTATTTTAGCGTTTTGTCTACACAAATTCCTTGGGAATTATTCGCTGTCATCTGTCTCAGATTAAAAAGGAGCAAGGGACAATTCGTTTCACACAGTCTATCTATTCTGGTCCTACCTTAATGAAAATATGTTAACCTTTTGTGAAACGAAGGAGAATATATGAATATCCAATCTCAAATCTGTTGACCAAATCAAATGCGCAATGCAAACTCGCTTGATAAAGAGATGCAGCTCAATCTGAGTGGATTCTATGCCTAAAGGAATAGTTCCATTTCTTCATTTTCGCTCCTTTGTCGGGCAACTATGAACTGGCTACCACAAATGCTTTTCCATAAGTAGCTGACGGAGACCGCATATTAACAAGTTCTACAAACTACCACCATCGTCTGCATCAGACCATTTGCCGTGTTTCACTTTTACACGCATATATTTACTGTCAATGCGTCTCTACCGATGCCGGTCTGACATGACGTTCATAACATTTCAAACTAAATCCCAGTATATCCTTCGTGTAATAAAAGTACTTCCATTTGAATACACAACTGTATGTTTCCATGCGATATTAGTGTATACAATGACTAATAATTTATTCTTCAAGTCCAATGGAGAAAACATTCTCAATAGCTTTTTGAGTGTTCCATTGACTTCCTAATGGTACATGAATCATTTCGAATTTGGTAGTTTTATTTTTTTAATTTTTACTTCCATTATTATTTGCGCAACTGAGATAGTTCACGTTTCGCTGTTTGAATCAACAAAGCCGCTCACCGTCATTGAAAACCCCTTTGACAATGGTAACTAGAGAGGAGACGATCCTCAAAATGTTGTTTTATCTATCGTGCTCGAAAAAACGCATGGATATTGTCACCAATGGAACAATACGAAACCATAAATATGATGCAAAAGCTCTCTGTTCGGAACATATTGTTACAATAATATATATATATATTATTTTCGAAAAAAGATCAGATACCCATTAAGTTGTTTCCATTTGTGATCAGTTTGAAGCTGAACTTGGTATATATTACCATTGCAGTTTCAATAGATTTCAGAATTGGTAAATTGCTGGCCAATTTTCTTACAATCAAACCAGATTTGAACTAGGGATTGGTTTATCAGATTAGAACTGAGGATTAGAAGTATTTTGGAAATTAATCGGTAGACGTACGATTCCTTTCCCCAGTCGTAAACTAAATCCTTGGAATGCTTTTCTGTATTCTGACCACTTTAGGTAAATTAATTGCGATGCAGTATCTGTTAGAACACATTTACCTTACATTTAGGTTTTCTTTGCAGTTAACCAATGTCTCCCATTTGACATTTAATCAAGGGGTGCAATTTCGCAGTACATTTTGGATTTTCAGAGAGCCGGATGTCATAAACCGTAGATTCCATGTGTAAAAGTTGCTTACCCAAGGCATTCATATGTGTTCCTGTTTCTGGATCAAGAATGTTCCCCAACAGCCTATTATCACAGTGAAGCCACATGCAGGTTAACCAAGGCAGTTAAATTAAAGACGGTTCCCGCTGGTTGCTTGCCAGTATTAATTTGCTCCACAGAACCTAGTGCTTGGTTTCTGTGCCACTCAGACACGAATTTCTTATGCTGTTCTCGAAGTTTAAGCTGATTAAATTCTGTTTAGACCGTTCCAACTACGTTTTTTGTCGCGTTTATTCGAATTCTGGAATTCCCTCCTTCAATGAGATTAAATATATTTCGAATGCTTTTAAACAATCCCTTGAAATGTGGTCAGAATAGTTCATTCCTTAGCAGTGCTTGAACGTGCAGTAAATATAAGCCACCGGTTTGGAATTTATACTTCACGTCCTAAAGCGTATCTATGAATTTTATCTCATATTATGTTCAGTCGTGCAACTCAAAAGGGAGGCAACGTTGAGAACCGTGTGCTAATTTGATGACCGATGATTCACGTAGAATCTACTCAGAAGTGTTAACATAATCCGAATTTTTGTGGTGTGGCAATATTTATTACTGCGTGCAGATATGCATGAGCTTGAGTGGTGTGTAAGAGTGGTTGCAAATTTGTATCACACTTGGTGTGATAGTTTGAACGGCAAACAAATGTGAATGATCTTCACTGTTGAGTTAAGACAACTATGATCAATAAAAAAATTATTTTCTACTCAAATCACTTAACAAATTTATTTATTTGTTAAATTATTGAAATAACAAAGGCTAAATCTCACTATGAAGCTTTATGAAAACACACTGCTAAAATTCTATGCCGCAAGACACGGAGAAATGTTTATTAAACTTATATGTGACATAATTAGGTGGTGAAACATAATCAAGAAAGAAATAGAAGAGGAAGCAACAACCATCCTTGACAGTTTTAATTCTCGTCCATCGAACATGATTCAGATGTGTTGCTTCTGTTCTCAGATGCTACATTACCAGAAAGTGAGATAATTTGTTCGTCAGTGTTATAATTCATAAACCAATGTTGATTGAACGGAAGTGGAAAGACAACGGCTTATTTCTGATTCAGCCCAATGTTACCTTGGTGAGAAGTTCATTTTCTGTAATGGAAAACACTTTTATCGATGCAAGCATTTCCGGGGATGATCTTCAGTTCATATTATCTGTAGTTCAACACCACAGATGTCCAGATTAGTTCATCGCCAAGCATAACGTATACTAAAACTGTTAAAAACAACATACTAAAAGAAAGTATTTTGCACATTACATTTCTTAGATACTCCGAATTAAAAATTAACAAAATACAATTGAAAACATTCTTACCAACGTTGGTAACAATTGTCAATAAAAGTAGACAAATTGTCGTTGATTTCGGATAGGGGGGATGTGATATTCTAATGTATTTACCCTTTTCCGCCAACTTTGGTAACAATGGATAAACAAGGTATACACAAGTAATTGTCTATAAGGAGTTCTGAAGAACAAGTCCAGAAAACTTCAGCGCAAAATGCCCCGATCATTTTCTCTATTTGCATTCCCCGCCATTCACGGGATTAAAACACTTCCAACAACTGTAAGTAAACTTACTGGCGGCTAAGCTGATCAAAGACTGGACTCACAGGTCGCTACCATCGGGCTGCTCAAACCGGAGCTCAGTCAAAACTTAAACGTGACTAGTCTAATTCTGTCATAGCAGGGTCCACACAGTGGTCTCAATCATGGAGTATGTTCACCAACCATTCATCATCCACTCCGAGTGCGACTGATGAGCTTTGATCTTCACAATAGTAAAGATTCTAACTTTCAAATGTTCCCATGATTCCATTGAGCAAACGAGTCGGTGAGTAGACAATTTTTGACGGAAACGAGCATTCAAACAATCACAGCTCATATAGCTAAGCATGTCCTAATTATATCTGATTTGTTGTCTCCATTTAATCATTGGAAGCATACAAACGCCATGAATTCACTCGATGTAATGTCATTTTTCGGAGGTATACGGTAGATGTTCCCACAGGTGTGCCTGTTTACAAAATTAGTTGATCTGATCTTTGTCCAGTTGTGTTAAGTGACCCGTGATTCTCAGTCTTCAAACTAATCCAATGCGGTTGAAGCTCGTGAACCACTTTGGGGGTTCACACAAGTGTGGGCTGGTTAACGCTGGTTAACGCTGATCGCCAAGGCCACGGTTATTGTTTAAACGAGGGTTATCTTTAATCGATTTAGTGATGTGCGATAAACTGCACTGATAGCTTTTTCCGGTTCAATGTTGTTTCCGGTGTGTTTGAGATGACCCACAAATGCACCAGGGAAAGTGTACGTTTTGTCTGACCTAACTGTCTCGAGTGGTTCTCCTGAATACATTAAAACAAATTCTGTTTTGTACGTAGTCGATTTGAAAAGGCATCCTGACGTACTTGAGAGAAAAATAACGTGAAGGAGGGCAGTTTCGAAGATTTATCTTTCACTTGCATTTGCATCACCAGTTATGTAGAAAACATCGATCCAGATTTGACTTCGGGAAAATGGAATTTACTTTAGAAGTCAGAAACTCCCCCTTAGATGGACTATGTATGAATAGTTCATTCATGAGGATACAACAGAGATATGCCTTCTCAGGAGTGGGCCAAATATTCTTATCTTGTGCGAGGGTTAATCGTTTTTCCGATAAGACTCTCTTATAAAACCGCGAAACAGTTTTATTCAACCTGTTATCCGATCATGATTGCTCATTGTTGTATGCGATTTTTAGTGATAACTGGGTACATACCGTACACCGATGTCGACGATTTAAATCCTCTCAATATCAATACGCAATTCCATCACGTCTTCATAGCATTTGACATGGGTGACATTCAAATGAGACCAGTGCTGGCAAATAAAAATCTATCTTGTGACATTTACTATACTAGTATTGCATTCTTTCAACACAATTTATTTTGCTTTTGAAGCACCTGATAAGTAACTCGTCAATAATCCGTGCCGACGTTACCGGCTGAAGCATAATGTTGTTCTTGGTTTCATTATTGACCCGGAGACGGATCGTTTCCTCTAGTCTCGGAAGAGGACGTGAGTAAGATTTGTTTCCATCCGTATACTCGTTGTTTGAACAGCTTTTATAGTAAAATGGTAATACGTACGACACACAATTAGAAAATTATGTTCTCCTCTGATTTGAGCAGTTTCCTGTAAGAAAAATTATGGAAGTAATTATCATACTTGCACAATACAGCTCAGGCAATCCTCTGTCCATGCAGAGAAAATCACAGATAGAGGAAGACACGATTGTAAGCTATTGCAACCACGGGAAAAGGGAGTAGGTGCACATTTATTTCTCTTGATAAACTCACCTAATTGCTGCCGTCACTTATTTGCCAAGGATTTAGTCGCTGTTTTGACACTTGAATGGTGCGCGGCAGAAACCTCGCGGGTGGTTTACTGTGTAGCTTTTCTCTCGGTGCTCATAACCGAGATTGCTTCTGTATACAGTTCGATGGATGCGAGTCTTTTCACAATGTTTCAGCTATCCATCTGTTGCATTATCAGAGCCTAGTTCTGCTTTTGCACTAAATGGTTTTCCGGTTAACCCAATCGGTGATCTGCATATTTTATTTCTGGATCCATAGAAGGCGTGATTTGGGTGTATTCTTGAAAGGTTTGGAGAGCCATTTAAGAAGATGCATTATTTTTAATTCAGTGAATGAAATGCGGCAAGTTTTGGCTGTTATTAAACACAATACATTACTACTGAGCCTACATGAATAAAACAGGCTCTAGCCTATCGGCCGCTAACCTACCAAGACTTCTCATGTTTTCATTACGCATGAATGTCTGTTAGTTTATATAAACTGATATCGTGTGGTGTTGACCAGCTATGATTTTCAACCTCTACTCATTCAAGTAAAGTGAATGCTATGGGATCTTGCCTGCGATATTCTACCATGTGCAATGCTTTTCAACAGTTTTAGCTCAAAATTGGTATGAAGCACCAAGGTGTCATCAACAAGTTGTGTTACTTCAAACCCATTCGATATTTTGTTGATACACTGAGCATTATATTTAGGTCTCAATCTTTGTTCAAGCTCACTAACATGTTTGCGCAAAGCAGCTATCCAAAAAACTGATAACTGTAATTGAGTGAGTGATAATTCCCCTTTTGTATTAATTTAATCCCGGTTCGCGCAATATGTGCAAAACACCGCTATTCCATTAACCATTGAGCGACCCGGAAAGCGAGCTTTGCGGGATGCTCCGCCCTGCTGACAAAAGTTTGATTTTGTTACACAACTTTATACAGGACTGACCTGGAAAAAAAATTTATTTAGCTTTGTCAGTATGTTGAATTCAATAAAACGCCGTGATGTTTTCAAATGGGCACAAAGTGTGATCCAGTTCACTGAATACATTTTGAGCGACGTAATTTAGAACAGAGAATAATTCAAATGCCGTTTTGGTTATTAGTTACTACCACCACTGAAATATCAGTTACTATTTGCAATTGAAGATCGTGGGATTTATCGTTTGATACAAACTGGTGCGGATCACATGTTTAAACGGATAATTACCAGTGTGCGAACAGCAGCAACAACATAGATTGAATTGTTCAATGGTACCTCAACAAAATATGTGATTATATGACATACTAGTTTGGCGAACAGTTTGCTGTATCCAAATAGAATGGTTCTATTCCTCAGATGTGGACGACCGGTTATTTGACAAACTTCGCGGGTACGGTCAGACGGATTCCTTTTCGTGGCTTGGCTGGTGGAACTTTGATGGTGTGAATAACCGGTAGAAAGGATGACTGCGATATTTGTTGTGTTTAACTCGAAATCACTTTTTCACAGTGAAGGCACTTAAAATAGAAATTGTGGAATATATTTCAATGGCAGCCCATTCATCTTTTCCATTGAATGCGCTACACAGATGCCTGTTGAAAGCAAAGGTTTTCACCGCAATGCTATGTTCTCTGATTGTTGTTGAGACTTGTCGAAAGATTGTTATTATGAAATATTGCCTCGTATTTCTAGTTTTTTTTTCTATTGAGTGTCGTCTCGAAAACCAGATGATGGTGGTGCAAATGCGCGATAGTTGAATCAAACTAAAAATCCGCTGTCGTTCCCCAGAAAGCTAGAGATAAATATCATGACAGTCATACTGAATTCGGTCTTGTCCACAAATTTCTATTCTCTGCAAACACAAGGTGTCAGTTTCTTTTTCAAGTACAGTTCGTTTCAAAATATTATTCTGGATCTTATCGAATAACCGCAGTCATAACAGAGTTAGTTCGGAAATGCTCAATTACACATTTGCAGAGTACATGCTAGAATTGTGGATGAACTACATGCAAGCAGACAGATATAACTTCTTTGACATTTGGTTTCTTCGATGGTGAAAATGTTGGTAGAACCGGGCGCAAGTGATCGTTTTATGTGACGTTTTCCATGAATGTTCCAACTTCTCCATCGGGTGAACAACTGAGATCAGTAATGTATTATTCTAGCCCAGAATATACAGTTTTTATAACTGTCAAATACAGACAAATGACATCCACGCTTTTTAAACGCAATATGTTTCGCAGTTGTCAAAAAAGGATTCTCAACGTGCCGCAGCCAAAGTCCAATGTGTAACATTTAGTCGCTACCCGCGTTGGTATCATAACAGATACGATGTGACGGGCCACAATTAACTTTCTCATCGAACAAATATTTTCTTCAGTGGAGATAAAACGTCTGCGTATTGCTAGGCATAGAATATTATGGATTTAATTCGCTATTGGATCCTTTGTTTCTTGCTAAAATGTCTCATCCGAATGGGGAGTTTCAAAAACTGATGGAATACATTAACCCGTTTTTAAATTGTTTACACACAAATACGCCTCCAATTTTTCACTCAACAGGATTTGATCTGGACGTTGATGGGCAACAACCGCTAACGTTGCGCACACGGCGGGCCGCTGTAATCGGGCTACACAGTGAGGAAATTTCCTCTGAGAACGAAATATCGGAACTGGATGCAAACGCCAACGTTCAACAGTCGGGAAGTGCTGCCACGCCACTGATTCCTCGCCAGCCGTGTTTACCTGAATCTGATTTGAATTTTAGTAAGTTAAACTGTCGGGTACAAATTTCTCTTTCTTTAAGCAAAACGAAACGTAAATCTATAAAAGACCCAAGAATATGTAAGAGACAAATTGGCTTTCAGTATTGATCATTACATGCGGGTCTCTATGATAGGATTGTGATGGGGATTCATGGGCGGTTTTAGTATCGAAAAAGTATTTCATTAAAGCAAAAGGACAGTGGGATTACTTCTATCTGCTTCAATTGTTACAACGATTGTTCATAAATGTTCAAGGGATTCATGATAGAACTCTGGTCCATTATTACCTCACCTGAGTATTGACTATATGTGTAAACATTGTGCGAGCACAACCGTTTGCGTGTAGTCAAACGAGAGAAGAAATCGATTTTCTGGTCTATCGAACAAAACACAATGTTTGCTAAGTCGTTTTTACTAACGCACAACATATATACATCAAAGATAAGGTGAGAAAAAGAGTAACATTATGTTTATTTCAGTACTGTTCAGGTGTCAAATACCCGTAATTATCTAACTCTAACAAACCATGATGAAGTTCGCAGGTATTTGTAAAATGACAAATTGGGCACCTAGCATTTTAATTCAAAAGCTATAATTAATTATGACATTTACCGTGTATTTCTCCTAAACTTTGGTTTTATGTGGACCAATGACATCACAAAAAGTACCCCGCTTTGTTAAACCGGCAAGACGTTGTCGATTTCTTGACTACATAGAAATACTAGAGTGATTCAGTTGACGACGCACACGATGCTCTAAACAAAAGAACAAACTGAATTATTTAAATACGGGCGCAGATCAAACAGCGTTGAATGCCATCACATCGCCTGAGAACTGTTACGTCAAAATCGCCACATACGGCAATTTAGTGTTTGGTAGGAGGAAAGTTCGTTTCCCAAAAATTGGCTGGACATTCGTTCATTCAAAACGAGTAACACGTTTCAACTGACAGCTCCATCAAAATGAGATCAATTTGTGCATTACAATGATAAGTACTTATCTCAAAAAATAAAAAGAACATTTCTGTGAATAACAAACGGAATTCGGAGAGTTGCGCAAAGCAATTTGTTCCTTCAATACCGCAGAACGAATTGTTGTTCACTGTTCATCAGTTTACGTTTCGGTTAGGCTGAGAGCAACACGATAACTTTGCAGTGTTCACATATGTGTGGATGAGATTAACTGAAGCGTAACGAATAAGCGACAGTCTAAGAGCGAAGAGTTAAGTTCCATCAGGTTTTCTGCTCCATTTATAAATGGGGTTGGTTCACATACCAGTTACTCACCTTGAATGATCTTGAAATGAAAAAAACGCAACAAATGTTGGTTTAGCATGAATTTTGTGTTAGTCTGCTTCAAATTGTGATGTTTGCGGCTAACCATAACAGCAATCGTCGGGCACCCAAAATAAAACCCATTCAATGTCGACCACCCACACACAAACTCTGGGCATGAGGTGGTCTACAGGGAAATAGACTGTCCGAATTGCTTTTTGGACAGAGCTGACAGTTTGGTTGTGAATGTGCGAGATTGGTTTGACCAACCACATTTGTTTCCTATCGTGGAGTGAACTAAGTGAACGCGCACAATCAACTGGGTTCCTCCGGTTCACAAGGTCTCTGCATATTGGAGTGTGGTTAGACCTGATTTGATGGTGTATTATTCACGGAATTGAGTGTCCTGTTCTCTCATCTATCCCTAATAGTAACGGTGTTGTCTACGGTCATAGTATTCAAAAGTGGCTTGAAAACAAACATACTTGTAAGGGTTGTTCGGCGGTTTACCCTTAAACCGGTGAGGACATGAGTTCAATTGAATTAAACGGTTTTGCGTTCAGTTGTCAGTTGGGGTGAAGGACAGTCGACGCAGAATTGTCTACATGTCGTGCGGTCAGTTGCGTCGTGAGATATGTGTAAGGAATGGGAATCTTTTTGATTTCTCTAAAATATATCTAAGGCGATAATTAATCACTGGAAATAAAAATGAAACATATTTTATAAATCTACAGCAGATTCACTTTACTAAGAAGCAGTGCAGACATACTTTACGCCCTTAACTGTCCCTTGATCTCAGTCTTTTGAATGATGGATAAAGTACCGATAATGAAATAAATAAAACAATTGCTCGGCCGATTGGTCTACCCAAAATTCTGTTTGGCTGAAATCGAACTAACTTACTCTCTTTCAATCCTACCTGGGAAAACATTTTCCTTTATGTGTTTCACCCCACTTGTGATGACGCTGGATGATGGGTAAAACGTGTAAATGAGACACGCCGCGTTGCCGATTCAGTGAAGTTTCCAGCAGCTTTGATTGTGGCTTTAATCGCAGGCGGCGTAACACAAAAATCAACATACTGGGTTGATAGTTTCTCAGTCTGATCAATCAGACAAAGTAATGCTTAAGTGAGAAAATACCATTTTGTTTAACCTATAGTGTGCCACCCTCGATTCAACCCGGTTACTGCCAGGCGTAACGCAACCCCAGAAAATGCATTTCACGCTTTAATTACGAACATACCTATCTCCTTCCATAAAAGCGCTTGATACCTGTTCAGTCTCATGCGCCAACTCCAGCACAATATTGTTAAGAAGTTCCATTGGCAAACAAGCTCATTATCGACACCTCATATACTGACCGAATGAGGCACTCAAATTTAGGTCACTTAGTTATGTGAGTCTTTGAAAACAAGGAAGCCAGAGGACTGGTTTCCGTGTGTTGCATTTCAGCTAGGGGCGTACTAGCTTGATTGATCTGTCAACAGTTAATTGTAATGTTTACAGATGTTGCATCAGATCAAGGTTAATGAATGATCACGGTCAATTTAAGGATCTGACTGACTATTGTTTGATCACGTACGAGGCGGGAGCTTTCGACGGCATTGCTTTTACTTAGCATGCGAAAGTAAGCCAGATTTGACCTGTTCGCACCCTCCAGTGATTGCGTTGACCAGTCGAAACGATTAACTCTTTCGAACACCATGTTTGGTTGGATTCAAGTGAATGCAGATTATTGTAACACACTGTTTCCCACCAGTACACCGATAAGCCAGCTGGGGTAGTGCCCTAGAGTGCAATAGGTTAAGCGTCGGGTGTTGTGACCGAAAAAGGTTGTTCCGTAAAGATCAATTCAGTAAATGCAGAATAAGGTCGCTTACATCGCTAGCTTGTCCTTTGTTTACAACGATCAACCTGGTCAGGAGACAAACTAAGCGCCCATCAGCGAAATGATATATCTTTTTATCACTGACCATTATTTTTGACAATATTTTACCCGTGAGAGGATGAACGACCACGGTGGTTTCCTCGCCTATGTAGGTTCGTTTGGTACTGTGTGGTGATATTTTTGCATTTTTGAATAAACCAATCTGGTTTTACTCAATTCCTCCAAGCATCAATCATTTGAAACCATTAGCTTTAGTGCTTTGTCATACTGTATAGATACATCAATAGCAATAGTTATACTCGCGCTGGAGCACTCTCCTCGAACTTCACCACGCATTAGTATTCACCAACCTGTTCATGTGCTTTGGTGGGCGTTCCAAACGCACGACAGAACGGCGGTTAGACTGCGATAAGCTGTCAAAACTAGCTTGTCTAACTGTCCACCAAAACGCACTAGTTGAAAAGCTAGAAACAACCCCACCCAATTATGTTAACCATCACTGCTCGCTTACCAAGAATGCTCTGCATTCTGCTGACTTAGTTGTGGTCTGACATGTTGCGCCGTGACACCCTGGATGTATGTGGAGTCGAAAAGCCTCCTTATATATATATATGTATATATATATATATATATATATATATATACTGGTGCCAACGCTACAACAATAATAACCATAACAATAATAGAGGATAGGTGGATTGGGGTACAGAACAGAATAGAAAGAGGGTGAAACAGTAAACGCCGGAAAATGGAACATTACTGGGATAACAACATTTTTTGTGTGTTTAACCGTACACCTCTTGATATCTTTTGTGTTGTTTGTTGCCTTTACGGGGCACGAAATTTTGACAGGCAGACCCTACAGCATCCGCGCCACTGACTTCTATTCTGGGTCATATCCCGAGCGTCTCCATCCAACGACAATCCTCATCCCTTGGGCTCCAACCTGGAAGGCTGCACCAACCAAAGCCAAAGCTGAAGCCAGCTTCTTCATGTCTCTAACCCATGTCATGGTCTGACCGCCGCGCCGCTTCTTCCAGCCTTGCCCGGCACGTGCGAACAGAGCACGGATAGTAGTCGATGGGCAGGCATACGTAATACGTGACCAAGCCATCAGAGTCGGTGTAGGGCGATTACTTCCGTTAGAGAAGGACTATCGGCACCCAACACACGACGACGAACCTCGTCATTACTAAGCCGGTGTTCCCACCATACACAAACAATGCTTCGGAGACATCGATGGTCAAATACAGAAAGTCGAATAGTATCCTCCGCTTGGAGACGACCAAACCTCTCAACCCTAAAGGAGAACACTGCGAACCGCGGCGATGTACACCATAACCTTAAGGGACAGTCAGATGTCATGGCGGCTTCACAAGTGTCACAGGTTTGCAAAAGCTTCTGTAGCGCTCGCTATTCGTAATGTGATCTCTTATACAACCCCACTTCCAGCTGTAATTGGGCTCTCGAGGTACTCAAAGCTCTCGACCATTTCCATATGATCGCCAGAAATAGTAAATGCAGGCACAGGCTCCTGCTAGTCTTGAACCAGCATTTTGCACTTTGGTGGTGTAAGGCACATACCATACCCGGATACCTCTATCGCCAAGCGGTTCAAAGCGTTTTGGACTGCCTGCGCATTGTTACTCATCAATGTGATGTCATCGGCATATTCGAAGTCAAGGATTCCATTCTCTGGGAGGAGTTCGACTCCACCGTTTGCTAGACCGAATGAAGCGTTTTGTAGAACATCCTCTATGACAAAGTTGAAAAGGAATAGGGCAACCTTGTCGGACTCCACTGGAGACAGCGAAAAGTGGCAAAAGCTGGCCATAGG